GTCACGTCATAGTATACATGGTAGTACGATTGTGTCACGTCATAGTATACATGGTTTAATTACAGAGAGCTGCAGAGACACACACACACACACACCTTATGTTTATTTTTAACACTTGCATGTGTTGTTAAATTAGAGCATTTTAACAACACTGAGCTTTGGTATAGTTACAAGTATTCTTTTCAGTTTTGTGCTTATTTCCACTTCTAACTTATTTGCTATGCTTTAAATACAGACAGGGTGGTGATTAAGTTTTACGACAGTCAAAAAATAAAATGTAAAGGAAACAGTTGTTACACATGATTGCGTGCAACAGCTGTGGTTTGTAATTTAAAGGAGTGCTTTTAACATTTTGGGGGAAAAACTCTTATTCACTTTCTTGCTTAGACGAGAAGATTGAGAGTAAACATGAAGCTACCACGATCAACCTGTTAGCTTAGCATAGCGCAAACATTGGACACGGAGGAAACAGCCAGCTTGGTTCTGCATTAATCAAACTGGATATGACGTGTTAATCAGTGAGCTTTATAGGGCCAGTGTGAAGCATTGAGGAGTAACTATTCTCAGATATCGTTGTATGACGACCTGAAACTAAGAATCGTGTTTTCGTTAGCTTAGCATGATCACTTCATACCTACATAGGGAGTTTCTGAAGTGGATGTAGTTGTCGTGACGTCACCCATTAATTAGTGGACTTCGGTTTTGAAGCCTTGAGTTTGGCAATTTGGCCGTCGCCATATTGGATTTTTGCAACCAGTGAACGGAAGTGACAATATTTGACCTGCGGAGGAGTGATGTAGAGACGCCGTATACGGCTCTGGTAGCGGCTCCTTTAAAACATGATATTCAACACTGATATCACAAACTAAAATATACAAAATAAAACAAAATACATATTTTAAAGTGCTTTTTTCGCTTGCTTTGTCTTTACCTGAAGTTTGTTTTGCATTGTTCTGTTCGTTTTCACATTCACGTTTGTCTCAGTTTTGTTCATGAAGGAATGAGATTGTTTAAACTTAATGCTTTTCTTCTGTGCAGCTTTTGGGGGAATCTTCCTCATGTGGACCGTGCCATGTTTCAGGCTGTTGGTTTGTTTAAGAGCGTAACTCTTCACATCAGCTTTGGCAGTTTGGTTGGTCGCTGGTTTAACTTTGTTTCTGAAAGGCGTCATCACAGCTGTCTTCTTTGATTGTTCCTTGGATTTCTGTCTCACAGTGTTCTTCTTCATTTCTGCGTTAGCTGGCTGCTTTTTCAGCACTTTTTTCTTCTTCCACGGTTGCAACTTAATTGTCTTCCTCGCTTTCTTATCAAGTGATTTCCATTTCAGCTTCACAGCAGAGCTCGTCATGGCCTCGCTGGCAGCGGTCGCTGCTGGTGTGTCGTGGCTCCTCGTCACCGTTGGTTTGGGGGTGAGTTTGAATTGTCTTGGTGGTGGTCTGGTAGGTTTTTCATTTGTGTCCAGCACAGTCACTGAAATTGCGCCGATGTCAGTAAGTACCCATTTTCACATTTTTACTCAACTCTGCACCCAAATATGTTGCATTTGTATACGCCTGGATCCAAAACTAGGCTCCAAAAACCAGGCCTGAATGTTTAAAACGCAGTCCTGTTTCTGCCTCTTTCTATTTACAGTATGTTTCATGTAAAACGGGACACTGCTTCTTCTAGTTTTATAGAAGACCTCAGTGTGATTATACAATTTGGCAGCAAAGAAACAGTGAATGTCGGCAATTTGTTGGCTTGCCAGAACAGATGCCTCCTGACTCTAACCTCTAACCTCTAATTTAAACGACTTGATAACATGTTGTGTGCATGTTGTTTATATTTAGTGCACCTTGATTGAACCAAGCCTATTTTCTACTTTCAAAAAAAAGAGAAACACCACGGACATACAGTATTTCAGTCCTACAATTTCTCTTTCAAAGGCTTCTGGTATGTGCACATCGTTAAAACGTCACATTAAGAGTTAAGAAGAAGAAGGTGAACTGAGGTGACTTACGTTCTCGGGCCACAAAGGGAACCTTCTTCCCTCTGACTTTGACAGGCAGCGGCTTCTGCTTACATTTTCCAGGAGGAGCTCTCCTGTAAAAGTTATGTTATGTTAATTAATGTCTGGCACAATCATTTATTGTCCTAAGTCTTATATTGTCTTACAGAGTTTTTATCTCATGTTGTTTTAACCAGTACACCTGCCTGAAAACTCACTAAATTACAGATTTCATGACTTAAGAGAATCATGAGATCTGTGTGGCTGATATGAGTGCATTGATGATCACAATGTGAGAGTACAGAAAAACAAAATGACAACAAAATAAATAACATTTCCCACTCATCACCATGTTTGATTGATGGTTTAATGTAAGCTGTGTGTGACTCTTCACCTGGAAGGGTCCATGAATTTGAAAACAGTTCCATGAGGAGAGTTGGCGCCGGGGTACGCAGTGGCCAACAAATAGAGTTCCCCTAAAACAAGAAGAGAACCGTCTGATGAGAACTGTTCCATTGGTACTAAACATCACTACACGCTGTGAGGAAGCACTGTCACCTGCTTCATCTTCAGCAAATGAGATGATGAACTTGTGGTGATGATTGATGAGTCCAGGAAAGGAGCACGTCTTTGTTTCCCCCATACACAAACTCCTCTCCCTCCAGGTTCATGTGGACTTCTCTTCCTCCAACGCCATCACTCGACTGCAAGATAACAGGAATCACCAACCAACCAAAGACATGTATCACATGTAAAGAATCAATAGTTCATCTCTCAACTTTCATCTTGTGAATAGGATGAAACACCAATAAAAAGCCTGTTGGCCATCATGTATATATTGTATTATGTATTAACTCGAAAACAAGACTGTAAGAAGAAACTCCATTAGTGCCGTTTGAATTAGGAAACTCCATCACTTCAGATATTGAAGGAGTCGTTTCATTTAACGCCTATTAGATTTAAATAAGAAGCTTGATACACTCTCATTACTTGATCAAAATAAAGCTACAAGGAGAGGTTTTTAAAGGCCAGGTCCATTACTTCTTTTACATTTTAAGTCGCTTTGGATAAAAGCGTCTGCTAAATGACTGTAATGTAATGTACGGTAATGTAATGTAATTTTACCATTAATTCGCTCTCTTTCTCGTCATTTTTACCACGCAGAACATGGTTTAAACACTTCAAAGTATCCAAACTAACCCTTTTAGTTGTTTTCAAACTTCGCACAGCTAACGTAGACTCACAGTATTTATAAGCTTATTGATTAGCTCACTTTGGTAACCTACGTCACTGCTCTTTGCTAACTGCTGAGTGGATGTTTCCATTCCTGGAAAACCTGGAAAAGATTCTCCAACCTTACAGGAGGCTTCAGGGCAGAACAGACACAATCCTGTAAAACGATGCATTGTTATTTAATACACATTCAATCAAAAGGATACAGTGTGTAAATCACGAGTCGTGGCTTTAGGTTTTTCTACTGAATAGAACCAGGCTAGCTGTTCCCCTCTGCTTCCAGTCTTTATGCTAAGCTAAGCAGCAACTTCCCATTTAGCGCACACACATAAGTGATATCGATCTTTTCATCTCAACTCCAAGGGGAAAAGTAAATATTCAGTTTTGGTGTGATACATTTGGATGATCCTGATTATTAGTGAATTCAAATGCTTTTAAAGTTTGTTCATATTTTGTCACATTATGAACTAATGAGATTAATAAATTGGAGCAAACTGAATATATATGGTGTGATTGAATATCAGTGGAGTGACACAGATGCTAGAACAAAAGTCACATTGTAAGTCAGTTAAACTTAAGTAAACCCAGGGACTCCAGTGATGCGTCTTGAATTCCTTCCAAAATGCAAAAAGCACAACAGCTGAGCAACCATGCTGTTCCTTTCCTCTTCAGATGTTTCTCTCCACAACAGTTGGAGTTCTCTATTTGGCTGAGATCAACACAATCTTACCCGCTCATGAAGTCTCCAAAGATGTACAGTCCGTTGAGATTGGGTGACTCACATCCTCTGTACACGTATCTGCCTGTCACAGACTTCCCAACATGATGGCTGTATGCAAATATGGGGAGGATGTCGTCTGTGGTGGCAGAGAAAGATGCACTGAATTTAACTCAAATCTGAAGCATCAGAATAGGATAGAAAGCGTGGCTCATTATGGCGGAAATCACAGGTGGTGAAAGTGTCGACGAGACAGAAAATAGCTCTTGATTTTTATCACACGAACAGCAGAAGATACTGACCCAAGGAGGAGTTGTGGCACAGTTTTATATCAAAGCACTCAAAGCCCTCTTCAGCTCTCCATCCATAGTTCCCTCCCTTCACGATGATGTCAATTTCCTCGTAGCGGTTTTGACCCACGTCTCCACAGAATATCCTGCCCCTGCCGTACCGGCTGACCGGGTCTCCGCGGTCCACAGAGCAGCGCCACATGTTTCAGCACATGGACATTAAAAAAGGGACTTGAATGCTCCAGGTCAACTTAACCTCATACACATACTGTGAACTCACACAAACAAGGAAACATCAGGTGTTTCACCTGAACTGAGCAGCACCTGCATGAAAATCACCATATCGAGAAAAAGAAGCTTATTAATGAACAGCTGTACTAAAAGGGCTCATTTTCGTTCAAAGTCTTTTTAAATGTTTTTCAACACATTTGGAACACGACGGGAGTTGTTGATGGAGGAGTTCATGAGTTCAACTGCTGTTACCTCAGACAGGAAACCGTTGGGAGCTGTCACTTGAAGAAACGTGAGGCACCTTACTTGTTTTGCGCATTGCCATACTTCCCGAATGCATCTCCAGCTTTTCCACCATCACCAGTAAAGATGTACAAACATCCATCGAGACCGAACAGCAGCTGGCCTCCGTTGTGGTTTGCGGCAGGCTCCACGATCTCTAGAATGGTTCTGAATGTAAAAAAGATGCAAGTTGAGAACAATGTCATCTGCTAAAGGTGATAAACATCTGGTTTTCATGGTTCTAAAGTCTGCCTTCAGGTCATGATCTATCCAGGCGTTACGTCTTCACTATGGGTACTTTGGTGTAGCACACTCATTCCATAGGCCATCATTACTGAAGTGGTTTTACAGGGTTGTCTTTGGCCTGGAAGCAGTGACTTCCTCTGCTGTTTGCCAGACAAAACCTCAGTTGGAACCAGAACTTGACATTATTAAACTTCTAGTTTTGTATGCATTGAACAAAGGATATAAAACATGTTCGTTTGTGAGTTGTAGAAGGGCTGGTAGGGAGATTTTGTTACTTTTTGGAGAGAGCCAGGCTACCTGTTTCATCCTGTTTTCAGTCTTAATGCTAAGCTAGGCTAACCAACCAACTGGCGGTAGCTTCATGTTTACAGACCTGAGAGTAATATTAATCGTCTCATCTAACTCTTAGCATAAATTGCATATCAGCTTATTAAATCCCAAAATGTGGCATAAGCAGCTGCTGAATGTCTGTAATTCACCCAGGGGCCCCTAAAAAATACAACAATGGAAATTCTCTCATCTGTTAAAGATTTTTCTTTCTCTGGATTTGTTAAAAAAAAACAGGACTTGGGGGGGGGGGGGGGCACTATTCCTAAAATGCAATTACAGTACCCTAATTTGAATATGTGACATTTTGAGGATTATAACAAATGACCAAAATTGGGGCATGGTCGCAAACTTGAAGATTATGACAAGTAATAATAAAAAGGCACCACATTTTGGGATTTGGGGGTACTGTAACATCAGGGACTGTATCTTGAATTTACAATATCTTATGGCGTTTTCTGTACTTTTGATATGTGCTTTCTTTTAATTGTTGCACATTAAGTTGAGCACACTTCCCGCTGAGAAAAGAGATAAATGAAAAGGCGCGCAAGGCCCCAGAAAAGCTTCAGCCGCCCCTGAAGTGATTTACAGTATTCATCTCAGAACATGTTGGTGCAAGCTTTAGTGCACTTCCAGCCGAGGCTGACAGTATAGGTATACGTCTTTCAAAGGGTAATTGCAGTAAAGGTGCACAATTATACATTGTCAGCAGAACTTTGATGCCATTAAAAGAGCAAAAGGAAGCTATAGCTTCCTTTTACGGAAGTACGGATCAGCCTTGTTCATATCGTGGGCAGACACCTGCATCTCACTGACTCTGACCTTCTCCACCTCACTGTTGACCTGGATAGAGTAGTAGATGAAGAAGCGTCCGTTGTCCCGGTACTCGGGGTGGAAGGCCATGCCCAGGAAGCCCCTCTCGTCCCCCAGCCAGGGCGTCGTCATCACCTCCCCACTCATGTCCAGGAAGGGCTGCTCTAGCCGGCTGCCGTCATGCAGGTGAACCCACACGAAGCCCACCTGCTCGGCGATGAACATGCGATGTGTGCCGTCGCCGCTGTGAAGCATCAACACGGGGTTCCTGAGGTTGTTGGCCACCTCTGTGAGGCACACCTGGAGACACCCTCTGGGGTCCTCCGCCACCCGTCCCAGGTTGCTGTTGAGGTCGGGGCTCTTCTAGACGTTGGGGTAGCAGTAGTCCCGGTCGGACAAGTCGACCAGGCTGCAGAACGTGGACGCGTCTCGCTCAGACGTGTCCTGCAGCAGCTGGTTCTCGGTTAAATATTTCACCACATGGCGACATTTGCCGTGAAACTCGGTGAAGTAGTCGAAGCAAAGGCCAGGTAGCTCTCTGACTATCACAGAGACGATTAATGACACTGGTAAAAAAGAAGGCAAAGATTAAAGGGGACACTTTCTCTCCCTCTGTCTTTATTAGTATCCCATTAGCACTAGCATTATTATCCCAGTAGCACTGGCATTAGTATCCCAGTAGCACTAGCATTATTATCCCAGTAGCACTGGCATTATTATCCCAGTAGCACT